TGTTGACAGAGATGTTCAGACAGAGCTCATGATCAGGTAGTGTTGGAAACCATCAAATACATGATAATGTTACATATATTCCTAGATACATAATATTGAACACAAAATTGATTTATCTTCATTTTTTAGCCTTCAGAGTTATATCCCATAAGCTTTGGCTGCAGGGTAATATTTCATTCATTAGCGATAATAAACATATTTACTCTCTCTTCCAGTCCTAATACAGTTATCATTAGTGTAAGAAACAGAATAAGTAAAGTTAGAAATCTTCAAATAAACACAGGAAGGCTATAGGAAGGGACTGACTTTTGAACATGAAGAAGAAATAGAGTTCTCTTCTTTTGTTTTGCTTTATAGAGACTTTTTTTTATTGATATGAGTTTAGATAAATGAGCAAAATTAATGTCTCTCAAAAGCCTCATCAGAAAAAAAAAAACACAATTTAATCAAAATATGAATTCAAGATGATGAATTATTCAAAGCGTAATTAGCAGAGAGAATTCTTAAGAGGAGAGAGGCATATAAAATCTCTTGGTTTTCCCTAGTGACCAAATAACAACCAAATTCTAAACAAGAGTCCATTTGGTGGTCATATTTGATACTTGAAAGCATGCAGTAGCACAAACTAGTCTGTACATGTGACATCCTTCCCAGTACAACCACCACTTAGAATAGGTGGAACCAAATGCACTTTACTGTTGTAATTAGGAGAATTCTCAGAAGCAAAGGAAGAATTACATTAATAAAGGAGTTGGAGAAAATAAGTGAGAATAAATTATGACAATCTAATATGCATAGAATCATAGAATAGTCTGGGTGGTAAGGAACTTTTAAACATCATCTAGTTCAATCCCACTCCAAGAAGCAGGGATATCTTTGACTAGATCAGGTTGCTCAGAGCCCCATCCATAAGTTATTTAATTTTGAAAAAATAGGAAATCAGAAATATGATGTGATGATGATTATGATGATTATTATTATTAGCAAAGAGGAATGAAAGGAACATATTTCACCCAAACCAGTATCAATCCCCATAGTGATACTGCGATTTTTTAATCATCTTGAAAACAAATCCATAGTGATACAGTCTAAACTATTTCAAAGATACTGCCAGGCTAAGGTGTCTTCAACACAGCATTGTCTGGCAAGCACAGTCCACTTAGAAACATTTTTAAAAACAGCAGGTAGGAGTTCTTTCGTTGAGTGAGCATTCTAAAGCTCAAAAAATAAAAACATATTCCTTCCAAAATTTCATACTATCCAATCTAGGAATCAAATACTTCAATTTATAATTATTTTCTAACAATCGAGCATATAATTAAAAACTGTATTGCTTCTCTCCCATGTCATTACCAGCAGCAGCAAGTAATCCTTCCCTGTGTGACTAACTCGCCCAGCAGAAATAGATGAAGAAAGTATTCACCAGAAAAGGTTCAGAGGACCTGCCTTCAGAAATACAAGCAAAGCCTACAGAGAGAGGCTGAAGTGATACAGGCAGCCATGGTTACACACTTAAGTAACATCTTTGGGGCCTTTTCTTCCTCTTCTATAAAGTAACATGCTTCCAGCATTCCCAGCAGTTTGGAGGAATGTAATTGCATGCTATTACTTAAGAACTATGTGATTACTGTGCCACTGACTTCTGCATAACCCAGCCTGTAATAAAAGTGATAAGAATAGCGTTTATTATTTTTGAAATGGTTTTTGCAATGCATCCGGTACTGATGTGGTTTAAAACGTCTGACTAAGCTCCAGACACTTTACATAGAGGTTTTATTTTCTTCTAACAGTACCAAACACCATGAAAACTCACTTCTGCATGCAAAGATACAGCCTGAAAGTTCCATCTGACCGGGTCACTCAGCTCTTAAGCAGAACTTTCAAAGACTGTGAAAGAAATGTCCTATCGTGTCTCCATAAGCAAGATGTATTTAATGCAAAGAAAAGTCACAAAAGAAAAAGTGTAACAAGAAGCTGCACAAATAGAAAGTGATAAGTACAGTTAAGCCTCCGCAGTTACTACAGAATGTAACTGCAATAAGAACTAGAAAAGTCAAACTATCCAGTCCCAGCTGTTAAAGGCAAAGAAACTATATCCCTTTCATAACTGCATCAATTGCTATAGGAAATCTGACTTTTAACTTCAGAAGAAAAAAAATTAAAGTTTAACACTTCTTTCTTCCTCAGACCATAAAGCACTCAGAACCATTCCCCACAACAAGCTTGATAATATTTTATTTGAGAGTAGCTGTAGATCATCACTTTCTGAATCCAAAAATATTTTCAGTCTCTAATACTAAAACACTCCCAAGATGCAGACATAGTTTTAATTTTCTAGAAACTCCCTGCCCTTCAGACTTCTAAATTCAACCCTACAGAATAGTCTTCTCTACATCAAGGAGTGTCTTCCATTTTTCAGGGAGATTGGCCCTCTTTAGCAAATAAAAAAAAAAAAAAGCTTTAACAATGAAAGGCTACCCCTACCCCAAAACCCAAAGTTCCAGGTTTCAGAGACATGTTAGCACATCAGATCCAAAACTCATTGCACAGACATATTACAAGCAGTACAAGAAAGTACTGGTTTTATACTATGCACATTTATGGAGAGGAAGCAAGAGAGAAAATTCCCATCAAGAGTTTGCCCCAAGAGCTTCAGCAATCTGGCCTTAAGCCAAGTATCTCTTCTGTTTATATATTTTAGTTATACAATGTAACAAGTGAAAAGAAACATGGATTTTTTTTTTTAAATATATTAACACACGACTTAACTCCCAAGGCAAACAATTCCCATTCAACAGTTATAACACACTGTTACAAACAAAAACATAAAGTAACTATAGATTAACACATGGTTCTTCTAAAGAGGGACAATAAAGAAAGGGCTGCTGTTGTCACAAGATTGAGACATGGGCTGCTCTACACTGCTGTTTATACCAAACAAAAAGAGAATGGAAACACAATTCTACATTTAATTTCATATTGAATGTCTTCCAGGTAAACTCTGACAAAAGCAGATTAATGCTTGAAAGACTACTTCTTTCCTAGAAAAATTAGTAGAACAAGCAAGCATGTAACAAGCAGGTACTACCTATACATACCACACACAGTTCATGCTTGTACAGCACATACTTACACAATACATAAACACTAACATACCGCCAATCAAACAGTTTTCTTCCCCAATACATAATTTTGTTTTCCAACAGTTTGGATCAATAGAAGATCAAACCAAACAAGCTAAATTTCTGGATTTCCAAACTATTTATCTCGTATCATGGCATGTCTTTGCTAGACTATAACTTTAAAAAAGACATGAGATAAAATGCCTTGCTTGGGAAGGCAAGCTGAAAGTCCTCCTTCTAACCACATACAGTTCCACCACCATGCCTAAGCCCTTCACATCTGTTACTGAGTCAACTAACTGTTAGCATGGCAGCTCCCGCTATCAATTCAAGGTAGTTTCATATATCAGGTTTCTCTCATATTTCTCTTTTATTGATATGATGATACAGGTGTTCACACAGACCAATGTGAAATCCACTCAGCAACAGTAATCAAGTGATAAAGCTAAATAACAATTACATATGACATCTACCACACATCTGGGACATACACTCTGTTCTTTATACCTGGGATAGACACAAGTATGCAGTCAGCACATATGTCTCCACATACAGGAAGGCATAAATACCCTCATGTGCAGGAGTAGTCGAGAATTGCGATTCATGTTATCACATGTTTGCATGCAGGTATAGCACCTGCTGTTTTGTGGGACAAGAACAAGTGACTACACGTCTCCTCCTCTGCTGTTACAACACAATTATCTCCAGCAGGCAAATGGGGACACAAAAGGGCATGCGGAGGCAGCACACTAAAGATCTTAGGGATACAGTAATATATTCTTCTAATGCGGGTTTGTACTGTTCTGCCTCCTTACATGTAAAGAATGGATTAGGTTTCAAGCCCTGGCATAAACAGGGGCAGGAAAACAAGTATGACCCTTTCAGCGAGGTCTGTCTGCTTAGGTGAGAAATAAGTGTGCCTTTTTCCATGTTGGAAGGAAAGTGTTAGGGCAAGGTAAACACAGACCGGATGGATACACCTCCCCTCACCACCGCTGCCTGCAGATTTATGTAATGATGGTGTCCCTCACTGCAGAATATGCTCAGTGCCTGTGAAGACTGGGATTTCTCTTCACATTTGCCTTGGAAGATAGCATTGCATAGAGCTGGTACTTGTGGCTGTCAACCCCAGTGCTGAACAAGTGTCATTAGTGAAAGATAGCATGCTCTCTGGGGTAGCTGCAGAGAAACGTGTTCCTATGGACATGTCTCCACCTCTGGCATGCAAACAGGTGACATGTCCAGAGGCACATCAGTATCTTTATGCAGTTACATCCTCCGCGCCTGGCAGGTCCACCCACGAGCAGCAGGGCAGAAGACGCAGGTATCCACCTTGGCACGTGCACGTATTCCTCCCGCAGCTGAATCAAAGGTGGGCTGACAGCCACCGCAAACCTCAGCAGTCAGGGAAGGGTGGCACAGAGACGCACATTCCCCAGAGGGAGAGACGGACAGGTGCGAGCAAGAATTCCTCACACACATACATAGACATTCCCCCAGTGTGCCACGGGAGAGCCAGCCCTGCCTCACCAAATGCAGAGCTGGGGGGATGGAGAGGAGCGTGCGGAGATCCAGCCATATGGGAGCAAACACCTACCTCATACACCAAGGCGGGGGGAATAAAGAAAGCACAGGGTCCGCGGAGCGAGGCGGGTAGGCTCTGTTTCCGCGTGGGGATGGGCCTGGGGCAGGGCGAACGAAAGGGTGGGGAGTGGGTGTTCGCCTCTCAGGGAGCCTGGGGGGCACCAATGCCCGAGGGGGCGCGGAGGGGCGTCCCCGGCGAATAAACCACAGTCCCACTCCCCTCTCCTCCCGCTCCGGCAGACCCCGGCGCCGGCCACCCCCTCCCTGCGCCCCCGGCCCCTCGCCCGGGCTCACCTGCCCGCACCGTGTCGGAGAGGTCGTGGCTGAGGGCGGCGGCGCTGCGCGGGAACTCCTTCAGCTTCCTGCCGCTCAGGTTGAGCCCCCCGGAGTGCGCCGCCTCCTCCAGCGCCCGCTCCAGACCGCGGTTCAGCGGCGCCTGCAGACCCAGCGCCCCGCTGCCGCCGCCGCCGCCGCCCACCCCACTCGCCGCTGCCAGAGCAGAGGCGGGGAAGGGCTGCGACTCGCCTCCCAGCGTCGCCATCTTTCCCTCGCCGCTGGGGGTACCCGAGAGGGCCGCCGGACCTGCCTCCCTCCCTGTCTCCCTCCTCCTCCTCCTCCCGCTCGTGGTGGCGGGGGCGCGCGGCACGGGCGAGGCGCGCCCACTGCGCATGCTCCGCCCCTCCCGGCACCGCGCCCCGGGACCGTGGGTGGGGCGGGGCCGCGCCCTCTAGCGGCGGCGCGGCGCGTCTGCCGCTGGAAGTGCCGAAGGAGAGGCGGCGGGAGGGGGGGCTTCGCATTTGCTTTTTGTCCCAACATTCCCTTGTAAAGCCAGCCCAGGAGGCCTGCCCATCGCCTACTTGGGCTCCTTCTGTCGGCACCCACCGGAGGTGTCTCGCAGCAGGGCTGAAGGGCTGGATGGGCGGCGATCCGCGGCTGGGCGGTGTGAAGCCGCAGGCAGCGTGCTGGGGAGCGGCATTTCTCTTTTGGAAGTTGAAAGCTGCAGTGGCTGTTGCCACCGAACGAGACCCTGGGGAACATCTGCCCTGAAGAAGGGCTTTTTGTGACTTGCTTCTTCTGCAGGGGCTGGTTCACACCTGTGTGTGGCTCCCGGGCACAGCCTGCCCAGGAGAGACCCTCGAAGGTGTGAGTTGTAGTGACAAACCAAGACCAAGAACTGCAATCCCTCCAGTTTTCAATGGGATAAACATTCTGAGGGGGGGAACGTGCTTGCTGGATTTGGTTCATTTCCCCCTCCCTCTCTGCAGCTTTGCAAAGCTGAGCCCAGGAGTGGGAGAGGAGCAAGGCCGCCTGTTCCCACAGGGTTTACAGAGTTCAAAGCTAAAAACGGACTAGTACGTCATCACCCATGACCTGTGTTTTACAGACCATTACATTTCGCTCAGTTACCCTGTGTTGTGACATTAAACCAAAGCTCCAGGAAGTTCAACCAGTGAGTGCTACAGGGACAAATAAGACCAAACTGCCATAAAGAAATAACCCTAAGTTTCTGAAGAACGAGAGACATCATAGTGAGATTAACATTTGCAACCAAAAACAGCACTGGGAGACAAAGGTATTAAGAAAAAGGGAGAAAGGACGTTAGAGGTAAACCTTTTCACATAAAGGTATCATAACATCCATTAAAAATTTGTTATTTATAATTAAGATGTGCTCTCAGTATCAGCATTTTCCATTTAAGTTTTATATGCGTAGCATCACTGCAGAAGTGTTGCAGGCAACATAGCAGTGTTTTTAAAGAGATGCCTTATGCTAAGGTAGATGGGTAGGACGGGATTATTTTACTGTAAGTACCTTTTTACTACACCTGAAATACAAGCCCTGAGCCTAAACTCCAGCGCAAATTCCCTTTAGCCTAAAGTTGCCAGTTCTCCACTTCTGAGGCAGATACCTTGGGTTTTGGCATGACTAATTCAGTGTGCCACCTGTTCAAGAAAATTTTGGATGCACCAGAGAGCAATTCTTGACATCATTCCTTGGAACAGCCCCTAGCCTAAGAGGAAAACAACAGTTACCACCACAGCAGTTGTGCCCAGATATCACATTACTTTTGACAAAGCTTGTTGGTGGGTTATTAAGATACTATTTTCCACAAATTTCCGCTAGTCACAGCATGTTTTGTTTTTTTAAATGCTTAATTCCAGCTTACGTGCAATCTTTGCATTGCTGCTGGAAAGCATAAAGAAACAGATAAATAGCTAAATTTTCTTAGCAATTTAAAGAAATGTAGGTTCCTCCTTAAAGCAATGCAAAGACACCTAACAATAATCAGAGATCAAGTTTGTTTTAAACTGCTTTTTGATCTGAGCCGCTGAGTTGAAATGCAGGCATGACATGTGCTTGCTTATCGTGTACTGTGTTGAAATTTCTGGAAGTAACACTATGAAGGCTGTTATGTTATCAAGATCGTGTAAAGAAAAAAATTACACAGCACTGAAGCTGTATATTGCCTTCACTTTCTCTCTTCTCTACCTGGGCATTGTGCTGGATCTAACTCTGTTCCTGTAGGTACAAAGGATTAGAAACTGGAAGTACTACAGAAAAAGAAAACCTCATTCACACTAGCACTGGTTTCCTATCTATGTGAATGTGTATAGAAGGTCATATATTGCCTTTGGTTGGATCACTAAGTGGGCACATCCTGCCACAGCACCTAAGCTAAGCTAGTGGCAAGCTGTAACTGCAAGCAGCCCTTCAATTCCTTTTCTCCACCTACATGATCTCCCCAGTTCCTATGTGACCATATTTGCATTTGTCTGATTCTTCGATGAGACCTAGAGCAGCTTAAAAGTTAAGTGTAGAAGGAAAAGAAAACCATGGATAGTCTTCAGCAAGCAGATATGAGTGTAATAGAGGAGAGAAGGAAGAATGTAGAAGGAAGGCTTATGGGTGGTATAAGAAGGAAAAGTTTCAGAGGTGACTGTGATGCGTTAGTCACACATAATATCTCTGACAAGAAAAATCCTATCAAAAATATATGGAAAGTACCATAGCTGAGGGAAATATGAGCCTTGGAGTCTCGGAGTGAATTTCCGTCACTCAAAATTGGCAGAAAAAAGGCAAATAACAAGATCCACATGGCTTCTGAAGTGACGAGGGCTTATATGCAGGGAGCTGGTGCGTCACAAGGTAGCAGGTGATCTCAGCATGTGTACCTGTCCTGTTCTAGACATGGGACTTTCACAGCATGGAGCAGGAGAACCTCACTTTACTTCAACATACAGATGTTCACCTCATGCTCCATATGCTCTAAGATAATGCTGAAGAAGCAAGAGCATGGAGTAGCTCATACACAGTCAGGGTACAGCAAGGCTTTCTTCATGTGAGTATCCCAGGTGGACAAGCTGTCTGTTATGGAGACAGAAACAACACACACACTAAATCAAATGTCAGAGAGAAAGTGGGTGTCATTCAAGTTGCAAGGCTACCTCCATTTGGTGCCACACAAAACAACAGCCACAGCTCAGGCCACATTATATAGTCTTGGTAGCATGACCATAACATCACCAGGACAAGGAAAATCATTAGATGAATCTCAAGAGAAAAAGTACACACACACTGAAGCCTCAGGTGGCACAGAATAAAAGGTGCTCCTTTCAATTAAAGCACAGACTCCTGACCCTGCTCACAGCATTCCTAGGATGAGCAGTTCATAACAGACACACCAGGAGAATGAGTAGCCTACACAGAGCAGACAAGGAAAGGCAGGGAAGCTATATCAGGAAACAGCTCAGAAAAATCCATCTATATAGCACCTGCCTTACAGAATACTCAGGAAAGGGGAAAAAAGCGGGAAAGAAGAAAACAATTAATTGATAGGAATCAGGAGAGATAGGGAAGCTTATATATAGAGCAGGAGCTCAGAACGTAGGTAAGCAGCATAGTCACTGCTCAGAAGACACAAAGGTTTCATCTTTACATATATTCAAGCTAGCTCACTATATAATGGGACAGAATTATTTAATTGCTACATAAAAAGAAGCACTTCTTTGTCCCAGTGACTGGGACAAGCATTGGTAGCTCAGGAAAGCATCTCCCTTCCTGAGACCTAGCAAGTAAGCAGGCTCAAAACACATACTGAGTGATAGTTGGTGGGGGTCAACTGCCGCAGGATCGATCCCCAATGGCACCACATACACTATACATGTTGGGAATGTTCACTGTCACTGTCATGGTAACAATGCTGCTGTATAGACGTGGATGCAACAAGACAGAAGCTGCAAGAGATCATGACCACAAGCTCAGCTCTTAGCTAACAGGTCATGGAAATAGACCTAAGGGTAAACTATAACTGACGTGAAAATTAGTATCACTGAAACACTTGAATTGACTAAAGAGTTAAAGGCAATGCAGTTACACTCCCATAACTGAAATATTAATTTAATTCACATTATGAGTTGTAAACTGGAAGCATTTCTTCTAAGTTTCTCAGATGACCTTGAAACATGCAATGTGACGGTGGTAACTACAGCTACACTTACCTTGAATCAACTTCAGCAGAGGTTCAGGGGATTGTAACTGTGGTGGGAGCCTTGCTCTTGAAACAGGAAGAGGTGGTAAGCGTTTGAACCATGGTCAGCAGGACAAAGACATACCTAAACTGGTTTGCCTTTGTGAAAATTTGAAACAGCATCTGGTAGGGGAAGAAGCCATCAGAGTAAGATATAATCTGGTTTTTAATAAAAATAGAGAAAAAAAATTCATTATTGTCAATAGCAATGAGATAGCATCTACCGAGAGATATTGGCAGCCTCACAGTGCCTCGAGCGTATGCTGTTGAAATACTACAGTTTATATGTCTGTTGCAAAAAAACTACACCAACCTGATTTCCTACCCCCATCAGACTATTAGCATAGACACTGGAAACAGAAATAGAGTCCTCAGTCTATTGCAAAATCCAGAAAATGCAAGGAGATAGAAGACATCAGCCAAGCAGTTGAATTTGGGTTTCTATGTGGAACACGCAAGGCAAAGATTTGGTAAGACTCATGTTAATGATTATGGGAAAGATAGCAAATAAAATGCTTCATATCCCTGTTAAAAAAACAGCAAAAACACTGGGACCAAAGAGAACTACTGCCTGATAAGCAGTTGTGATATAGAAGCAGAAAGAGAAGGCCTAAAGGCCAAAAGCAGCAGGGGAAATGAAAGAACAGTTCTACCTAAATGCAACCCTAAATATTTCCCTACAAACCACACAGACCACCTCTCTGGTATAAACAAGTTCTCGAGACACTTAGGAACTCAGTAAGAGCTGTGAACCAGCACCAATGATTGCAAACCACTCAACTGACTTGAGTCAGGTAAGTAGTTTTAATTGACTAGCGCTGTGTTTATACCTTGTCCTCGCTCAGTCCAACCATGTTGCTCATACCAGTTAACTGGCAGCAGTAAACGTGAAAGTAAAATTGCAAAGAGGGTCTTTGGATACCTGTCACTGGGAAAAAAACCACACCATCCATGCAGTTCCAGAATGGGGAATGGTACCCAAGAACATGTTGGTAGCCAGATATGCTTTGATAATGCTTACAAATATGAATCCATGCAACAATCAGCACCTCTCTACCCAAAAAGTGTTTCACTCCCAAGGGGTATTTTTGCTTTCAAATATGTGTCCCGGGCCACTGAAGCAAGAGTTATTTGTGCTAACAGCACCATCAGAATAAGGCTTTTACTAGCAAAGAGTAATCTCCTCCTTGGATGTCCCAACAGCCCCCAGACACCAGCAAGGATGACAACATGCAGTATTTTATGAAGAGCAAGTAATGTGGACTCTCAGGTTAAATCACTTAGTTTAAATCACTTTTCATGAAGTGAAGCTGTATGTATTAGAGGTAGGCAGATTTTGGCCCATATGGAAATGTTGCCCTGGTACACGGCCAAGGCAAGTGCTGGACTGGGAAGGGATACTCAGTATAGTTCCTATTTCAAGAACTGTGGGCTGTATGACTACAGAGAAAATGTATATCTTAGAGCAGCCATTGATTCTTTTCTATTTCATATATGATCCTAGAGCAGCTGATAGTGTCTTGCAGATACTGAGGTGATGAAAAATAACTTAATTCCACATTTGCACTTAGTCTGCTATGCTGCAAGTGCTGTAGGACAGCTCTTGAAAAACAATGGCAAAGAAGATCAAAGTTTACCATTTAACTGCAATTTATGTTCTCATTCCTTCCATAAAGATCAAGGCATTCAGCAATTCATATTAAACTTCCCAACAACAATAATTTTGACATAACTACCAAGAAATATAGCATTTTCTGGTTTATTTGAGAGAAAAACAAGTCAACTTGTTTCATCATAAATCACTAACATGTCTAAAACTACTATAATAACTCTATACTAAGTAACTTTATAAGCAATATTTTAGAGGTATTTTACTCCCAGTTACAGAATACAACACTTCATTTAGAGCAGTCTTATCTTCTTCCAGCACAAAACAATGCCTCCATTCTGTAGACATCAGTTCCCAGCTTATGAGCTGAATCACTGGAACCCAACATGGGTTGGGCTAGGGTGTGGGGGTAGGGGGGGGGAGGAGCTAAGAAAAAAAGGTGAGAACTGTTCTTCTAGGTGTGGCTTTCCTACTGCACTTGCAGCAGAAAGCACTTCCCAGCAGTGCACCACAAGCTTGCAGCATCTGGGAGGTAAAGCAGAATTCTCACACAGCATACTCTTGCTGCTTTCCATTGAAGTTTGGATCTTGCAATCACAATATGAGGATGTGAACTTTCTGCCACTCCAAAATCTCATGTGCTATGTACAGGTGACCAGACATAACAGTAGCTGCATGGGAGCCACAGGCAGGACCAGTGCTCAGATGAACCCTGCTAAATAGGTAGCACTCGTCACTGCAGCCTCCCTCCAAGCTTCATTATGTAACTTGTCCCTGTCCATTTTCAAATCATACCATTGTATGACAGCATCTCAGTCTTGCCAAAGACAACACTGGTAAGAACCAAAGTAATTGACTTTTGTTTAGGACAAAAGTTCCTCTTATTTTTATTAAAGTAAAAAATGCTTGACATTCCTATAAAAGTCCTCATTGCCCTATACTGTGCAATAAGACAGATACTGGCCAGAATCTCTTGCATTATAAGTATTAAATCGTATTTCATATATACAGACCTGCATATTTGGCGACTGAGTGCCTATGGTGGCATAATATCAAGGAGCATGATGGAAATAATAGATTCCTCTTGGGAAGAAAGAGTATGCAGTGTTCCTAGTAAGACTGACTGCAGAAGACGACTCAAAAATTGTTCATATGGGTAAATCCAGGTTCTTGCACTGCTGGGTAGACAACAGCAGTGTTGTCTTTATCTCCTCTTTCTCCAGATACACGCTGTCAGACTGGGCAATGCACGCCCAGCAGAATACATTTCCTTCTCACTGGCATAGCCTGCTTTTGGGCATGGAAAAAGAAAAGTGATCCTGTTAACTGCAGACTTTCATATCCTGGATGTAGTGGAGGCCAGGAAGGTGCCCAGGGATGGGTGGTGGTCTGGCCAATTTCTCACAACGGTTTGGCTCCTGGGAGATGCCAGGAGATCGTCCCATCCTGCAGAATGTGAGTGAAGGGTGCTCACCTTTATGCCGAATCTGTCTGTAAGGATCTTTATCTTCTCAATGTGCACTCTTTTAAGGACAACTACCAGAATGGCATTTTCTCTTGTCTCCCAGTTTTGTTTGAGCCATCTCCCTTACTTTGTGCCTTCAAGTATTTCTTAGAATTAATCTCTCGCTTTATTTTTAACAATAGGAGCTGAACATTGAAATGGCAAAGCTAAGTGAAATGATATGGAGAGAAGGGGAAGGAAAAGCAATTCTCCACCCATTCCCCACCTGTGATTCGTATATCTCTGTTAATATGTAAAACACAGAGCAGCCTGTGCAGCTTACATTACATGTAGCAGTTAGAGAATGGACCTTTTTTTCCATGTGTTTCCTGTGACACTGAAAACACTGCTACTACTAAATCACCCAGTAATGCAGATTACTTGTTCTCAGTGATTCTAATAAAGGAAAGAGAAACAGCAGAAGAAGTTCCTGAAAAAGGCCTTTCAGGGATCTTGGTACCTGTCCCTGAACTCATTTGGGCATGTAGATGGCAAGGGCGTATCTTTTATCTGTTTCGTGGGAGTCTAGAAAGCTGTTTAGAAAAGATGAAAACAGCTAGCAAACAAAGTGAAACAAATGTTCTTAATACTCTGAAGAAAAGGAAAAGTAAGAAGGAAAGTGCTGGTCAGGCAAAGCATTCAAGGCCTTCCATGACAGGAAGGAATAGAAATTATTTTTACAGAAAAAAGTGAAAACAGAAGTTAAAGGTTGAGATCAAGGTTTTCCTGTTTTGTTGGAGTTTGCTGGTTTTTTTCCCCACAAAAACCATTTTGAGTTCTCCACAATTGCAAAGAAACAATTGATTTTTCCAAGATATTCAGCTGCAAAATTGTTAGGATGACTGCTACTATAAAGCTTCTATAATATAGAAGCTTCTACTATGCTACTGTAATATCTGCTCTAATGAGATACCATTCTCTATAATTACAGTCCATTGAGGCATGTTTCATAAACTACTTCAGAAGTTTTGCTCTGAAGTCATAAATCACCTTTCTTTTTGTGCATACAACACAGCTCAAGCTCACATAAACCATCAGCAAGCTCCTCACACCTTTCATCTACGGCCACTTACTCGTCCTTCATGACAGCCAGTCCTTTTACAGCAGCATCTGTTATGTGACAGGTCATGTGCCTCCCCATCTCTCTCAGAAAGCACTGCCCACCAGTGCTGGAGCATGGGGAGCTTTTGGTTCAGTCCCTGACTGAGTTTGACTTGTTCAGGGCAAACTTCTAGATGTCTGTCAGACCTTCTCCAACTGCTTTTGTGTGGATGATTCTGCCAAATGTGCCTGATTATGGACACTGCACTTTGTTAAAACCGAGATTCAGGATACCTACATTCACAGAAAACTTATAAAATATCTTCCTGAGCTGTGTTGGAGGCACATGTGCTACGCACTTATTCACAGCAAGACTGCATCTTTTATTCACAGACAGCATCTCCAAATTGCCCGACTTTTGTCAGGCCATGGAAATTTAACCAGAGAAGTGAAGAATACTGACTTTCAGACAAGCATATATTTAAAGGCTAATTACCAGGTGTGCCTCTTATTTGCAACATATCTGCAATAAAAACTCTGAAAATTGGCTAGTGCTCATGTTTTTAACAGAACACCGCCCAGTATTAAGTCAAAAGCTTTAATAAATCTAAATATATTACAGTACTTTTATCAGCTAACTCTATAAATTCCTCAGGCATGGAATCAGGCTTGCTTTATAATAACTCATTTTCATTAATCTATATTGATGGCAATAATTATATTTGTATATGTCTGTTCCTTTGAAGACCCATGTCATTTTTCGGTCATTTTGCCTACAACTGATGTCAAGCTAACAAGCCTATAATTAGTGGCTTGTCACACCCTCTGAATTCTGGCACAGACTCAGCATTTTCCCAGTCTTCTAGAATTTGTTTCTGATTCCAAGGTGTTTTCTGAACATCTTTAATTGCTGATGCATTGAAAAGTGTATATGACTCTGCTAGGATGCAATCATAAATCTTGCTCTTT